TGGTGGAAGAAACGACCTCTGAACTTAACCAATCTGATCTCAACAGATCTATGCTTGAAATTATGGAGCTAATTTCAAGGTTTCATCCACCATGTGCAGAGGACTCTGATCTGCCATCCAACTTGTTGGTCACAGATTGCAATGCCTTAACATGCAAGCAGGCTTCAACAGCAGCTGACCGCGTTATTCATGTTTTCCGATGGAAGAGTTGTGAACTTAATGTTGTTCTACAGCAATTATTTCGTGCGTGTAGTTATTTATTGGATGGGAAGAATGATTTTGAGAAGTTCATCAGGACATTGACTTCTACTTTGGGATGGATCAGCCAAAACTGTATACCTTTTCATGATAATTTTACCGTCAGAGAGGAATTCAAGAGACACCTAGGTGGGGATGGACCAGGAACAGCCCTGGCACTTGAATCTGTGCAAAACCTTATGCTTGAAATGGAGAAGATCCATTCTATTCTCCAAGTAGAAAATAAAGGATTAATAAATGAGTTGAATTTCATGAAATCCTCAGTAAAAGATATGGAGGTCAGACTGCAGTCAGAGAGGGAAATGAATGGAAACTTGACGCGTGAACTCGAGCAATCAAAACAAAACATTGCAAATCTACAAACTGAGTTGGAAGCTTTGAAAGAATCAAAAAGAATAATTGAGGATCAGATTGAGAATCAGAAAGTGATAAATGAAGATCTTGATACCCAACTCACTGTTGCCAAAGGTAAAATAAATGTAGTTCTCCAGAAATTATCTTCTGTTGAAGTAGAATTGGATGATAAAAGCCATTGCTGTGAAGAACTGGAGGCGACTTGCCTCGAGCTTCAACTGCAACTTGAAAGGTACCATCTGTTTTCCAAACTTCATAGTTAACTTCATTCATCTTCAATTAGTAAATCAATGATTTTGTTGATTTTCGGGATATGCCCTGCAGCATTACCTGCAAGCAGCATCCACGCGACACCGAAAATCAAGAAGAGAATCTGCACCAAACTGTAAGTTCTGCTCAGTGAAGAAGACTATATTGAACAGGAAACTTTATAACCTTACAACCAATAAGGGTATTGGAAAAAATATGACACGTTGAAGCAAAAGTTAATGCAAATTAACATGCCATGTTTAGGTGGGCTTTTTGTTGCAAAATTACAGTCTTTTAAAACTCTTTCCCGGACCCCCTCAAACCAAAAATGGAAAAATTTACCTTGTTTTGAATTTATTATGGAAGTGCAGCAGCGTCATTCCTGTTCCATTAGATCTAGCAATGAACCTAAGGTAATGGTGAAAAAAGATTCATGTAAGCCATCCCAGATTTATTGAGATCATGGCTTAGTTTGTTGTTGCATATCTTCTTTGCTTACCTGAGGTACTTCTATTTCGTTCATGCATGTATAGAGCATCATTTTCTATTTTCAACATTATATTTTGCATCATCAAGAGTATTATGGATTCAATAACATATATCACACAAGGAAGTCGAATGTTGTTTACATGTGAAGAGAGATATTTACGTGCAAAAATACTGTAATCTGAAGTATAGTGTTTTGATATAGAATAATGCTATTTATTACCATGATGATAAATCATCGGTGATGTGGCAGTTTATATGGAATAATGGGATTGGGCAATTCGATTTATATGAGACAGAGAGAGAGATGTGAGGGATAATGGGTTGCCACATCACCGATGATTTATCATCATGATGATTAATAACATTACTCTTTGATATAACTAATTTGTTTAATTGAATGATAATAACATAGTGCTTAATTCACTAACTCCTAGCAGACGACAATCTCGTATTTCAAGCCACAAAAGGAAAATTTTCTGAAACTGGAAATCTTATTTGGCTGAAATAAATTCAGCTGTATCTTACTACAAATTCTCGGATGGTAGAAAATTCATACAGCCAATTGTGAACATCTGTGTATTCGCTCAGATTATAGTCATCAAACTGGATTAAACAACTAATAACATTAGTGGAAGTACGAGAAATTTTATGTGCAATAGAAAGTATTCAAACAATGACTTATTGTTGAGAGACTTGTCTTTAAATTGGCAGGATGTGGAGATAACAAATGCTTCTGCTAAGTTAGCAGAGTGCCAAGAAACTATCCTAAAGCTGGGAAAGCAGCTAAAAAGACTGGCTTCAGCAAAGGAAGCTCAAGTGGTTGACAAGGTTCTGCCTATTGAAGATACTAGTAATAACAGGTTGAAGAAGCGATCATCGCTTCTTGATCAAATGATATCTGAAGATAGTGCAGAAGTTGATGATGTACAACCTCCAAACACTAGAGAGAGTACAAGCACCATTGAAGATGACAGATTGTCCATCTTTCATACAACTCAAGAAGCTTATCGTGGGCTGACTTACAAAACCGAAAATGCCAAAGCTGGGGCTTTGGTCATAGCACTGAACAAAAAGCAGGGAGGACTCGGATTCTGGAGGAAGTTGCTGCTTAGGAGGAAGAAAGGTAGCAGTAAAAAAAACTTTATTTTCCATCAGTAAATAGATAAATTGTGATGCAATAAAAATGAGTTCTTGCTTGTGAATGGATGTGGACCTGATTCACTGTATCTTGCTTGCTGAGATTGCTCAAGTGTTTATGTATAGCTATGTTAAAGGTTTCATATGTAGTGTTGATAATATCATCATTTCCTAAATCATTCTGAAGACAAACTTAGCAAGAATGGTTGTGACGTGACCATTTGGAGACAAATTTTCCATTTCTATCATGAATTAAGCACAGGGTTCGCCTAAATTCTTTTAAAGAAGGAAAATATCTAGTCGTAATTAGGATATATGCCAACCTTTTTTCTTTCGAATTTTCATTATTACTAGATTTTTTGGAAGTTTAAAATTTACTAATAGATATTTCATATTTGATTAATAATACACTTCAATTTATTGTAATTAAGCATTTTCTCCTAATTTTCAGGAAATAATATATAATCTTTCTTTAATTTATACTTAATCTTGAATTAATTCTAGACATTTTATTGTTGCGGTTAGTATGTTATCTTATTCAATTAATCATCTTGCTAATTTTGTGTGTATAAACAAACATTGTTACCTTACAAACGTTATTTCAAACTTTGTTGTCTACTATTTATAATGCTACTTCTGACTATAAAAAACACGATTTTCAAATGTGCTAAGACTACTTATTGTCTAGTTCAATGTTTCATGACCTTTTTAGACATTGTTACTCATTTGCGAATTTAAAGCCATCCAAATGCAATATTAATTTACATAGCCTTTTTTTAATATTAAGACTATTTGAACTCCGTTTTTCGTGAAAAATGAATTTTGTAATAATTATTTTTGTGAAAATGTGTAATTAAAAAGTAGGAAATTTTTTTATTTATGAGTAAAATTATTTTCTTTGGAGAATGTATAGAAAATGAATTTGAAAAAAATAATTTTTTTTCAAACAAAAATCCTTTTACATGTTCGGTTTGTACAATCAAGCCTTTGTTAGGCATAATAGTTACTGCTTTCTTACTATCAGAGAGATTCCCATACAGGTTAGCACGAGTGGATTAAGGGGCTGTTTGTTCCAGATTTTCCACATATTAAAATCACAAAAAGGAACGTTAGTGGGGCCCGCCTGAGAGAAAGGAAGTCAATTGTTATGGATGAACAGTCCGATTTGTGCTGAAAATCCTTGCAAACAGTTTCACCAGACAGCCCCTTAATCTACTAAGGAAACCTAAATTCATCTATGAGGACCGAAGGGCAGAGCTAGAGGAATCGTGGGAAAAATTTCACAAAACTTTAATCGTGGGAAAAATTTCACAAAACTTTAATCGTGGGGGCAACATTTTAAAATTACGAGGACTTTTTTTTAAAATCTTTAAAAAGCATCGGGCAGAATAACATATTTGAAATTTATTGTGCTGCCCCCATGCTAAATCCTCGAGGAAAATGATGCAAATCAACATGTCAACCAGAGGAACATATCAAATGATGCAACACGAGTTGATTGCAATTTATTTACTAATGGCGGAGTCCAATTCTTCTTAAAGAAAGGATCTACATTTACATTTTAAAGACTCAAACTAAGTGCAAATTAGACTTCCTATCAAAAGCCAATCTATGCATTAACGAAGAAATAAAACATTTTAAAGATCAAGACCCTTTTCGATTCGAGACGATTTCAAAATCATCAAATGGTGAGTAGCACCAGAAATTGGGCTTGAAGTTTTTCAACTACAAAATCCTCTTCTCAACGAGACCGTACTTTCATTTGCTGATTCTACACTACTTCCCAATGAAACCATCATACAAACCAAATGCAATTGAAAGAACGAGAATCTTTGCACATAAATGAAGGAAGATCAGCTTGAGGATATAAGCAGAATTTTTACAAGAAATGTAGGGTGTTCAACATTTCATTTAAATGCACTATTCTGTACCAACAAATCAAAAATTTTGGGCAGAAGACTTATCAAATTATCTCCGTTCACGTTGTTAGAAAGCATATCAACCAAATTTTAAGCTAGACGGACCCAAAGACAATAAAGGAACTTTAAACACAATTGCAGGCAAGAAAACTTCCCCACTGCTGGATAATGATTTTGCTTTTGAAATTGATCTCGAGTTCATGCTGCTTTCTGCACAATTATGGGTTAAGATTGTCTAGCTACAATCGTCCCTCCTAAAAAATGTTCATCTAGTGATGGAATATGTTATATCAAAAATTCAGGAAGAATTAGAGAAAAAAGTAAAAACAGAGACCTGATAGAGATACAAGCATGAATACTAAAAAAAAATTGAAACATTGCAACTAGAAATTGAAATGTATGGATTGAAGTGGTCTAAAGGACACAAGACAATAGTCCAATGCAATATGGAAACAGACAGCAAATGATCCAAAACATAACAGATAGTTCCTTAAACAAAAATTTAACTTAATCCCAATCCCATAACAAACTACAGCGATGAATAACCATGTTTAAGATGACAATTATAATAAAAGTAACATGGCTACCAGTAATTCAACGGTAGGATTTCTGGAACCTAGCACGAGCACCACGACCACCAAACTTCTTGGGCTCGCAGCGTCTGGGATCTGCCACAAGCAGGGTCCTATCGTACCTCACGAGGATGTCCTTGATCTCCTTCTTGGACTGCTCATCCACGTACTTCTGGTAGAAAGCGACGAGTGCTTTGGCAATGGATTGACGGATAGCGTAGATTTGGGAGGTGTGACCACCACCCTTGACACGGATACGCATATCCACTCCGGCAAAGCGGTGGCGACCGAGGAGAAGGATGGGTTCAAATGCCTTGTAGCGCAGGATTTCCGGTTGTACCAACTCGATCGGGACACCGTTGATCTTGATCAATCCACGTCCCCGCTTGCAGTGGGTAACCGCGACAGCTGTTTTCTTTCGTCCGAAGCATTGTACAGATTCCGTCTTCGCCGCCATGACTGAGTGTGGCTCCTGGCAAAGGAAAACCCTAAACTAGTGCGACTCTACAGAATTGGATTGGAGCGTTGCGGTGCGATGAATATATACTTCAGTTAAGTTAGGGTTTTAGGGTTAACATGGGCTGAAAGCTTTGATCACAAAAGTAAATTCTTGGCCCGTTTACAATACACTAATTGGGCTACTCTGAGATTCTTATTCATTTTCTGGAAAATTAGGCCCAAAGAGATTGTTCCATTATCGTAACTTGATCTCGACATTCAAGCACGAATCCCTTGAGCACTTCAGCACTGTTGCAGGGCGAAAGGAAAAAAATCCCATTTTTAAGCTCTTCGACCATTGTCTCTCTCTTCAACCGTGACTTTCTCTCTCTTGGATCATAGCAACTATTCGGTTCGTAAGTGGTGATCCATCGAACGGCTCACCTCGCTTAACATCGTTAAAGTTTATAGAGTGATATGATATGTTTAATTAATATATGTCAATTTGGCCGTGTCCAAATGGGGTTATGAAAGTACAGTCCATATTCATTAGAGGAAATTACATTGAGACATGTGTTTAAAGTTTCAAATCAAAAATCAGGGACTAAATTTCATTCTTCAAAAATCAGGTGATATATAAGAAACCTATCCCTAATTTTTCACTCTCCACCCCCTCTCCTCTCCCATCTCTTTCTCGCCTCCCCTCTCCTCCCCTCCCCTCCGAATTGCAGCAGCGCGATTTACAGCGACGTTGTAGAAAAGCCAACCACTAGAATCGCACGCTGTAGAATCGTGAATCGCAACAATGGGCAGGGGTTTTTGGGGGGGGGGGTTTGAGTCAATCGTCGACTTGTGCCAACTGGTGCCGATGCTGCACCACCACATAACGGCCTCCTGCGGGTAATGGTTTTGGGGGTTTTTTGGTTGTGGTGTGGTGCAGGCGGCGGTTGTGTGGTGGTGGTCCTTTTTGTTGTTGTTGGAGATGGTTGTGGTGTTGTGGCGACAGCGATTTTTGTTGGTAGCGTGGTGCAGGCAGTGATTATGGTGGTTGATTTTTGTTGCATTGCAGGCGGCCGATGTGATGTTTTTGTTGGTGGTGCGGTGTAGGCGATGGTGTGGTGGTCGTGTGGTGCAGGTGGCGGTTGTTGGTGGTTTTGGTAGTGTTGTGCAGGTGGC